TAGACTGGCATCTTTCAACAGTCATAAAGGAGCCATCTGCTACTCGGTGCAGCCGTTTATGCACAGTAGCCAGCCTAGCTAAGGCTCTCTTGCTGCCTTGCGGATAAGGGGTGAAAGGGAAAGTACTATTACAATCCAGGCACACACTGCATAAACCTTCCCTGTTCCCTGCCACTTGTCAGGCCACAGTGGCAATATAGGTTCTTCCTCATTCCTGGCACTGGGAGCTGCATCACAGCGCCCGGAGGGCTGACCCCCCTCCCTCCTGGCCTCCATGAGTGCATTTGTATATTCTATCTCCCCTAATGTGATTATCTGTATCTTACTGAAAATCAATAAAATAGCCAAGCTGCAAAACGAGACAACTCAGGCTGGTTGGTGTCCCTGAGCAGAGAACACGAGGTCATTGCTCATCTCTCCCCTCCTGTTATCGATGTTAGAAAAAACAAACCAAATAAACAGCAAGGACAAAAATAATAGGAACTGTAAGTTAAGAGAAAACATTTCAATTAAGAAACAAGTGAAGGAGTACAGTCCACTTGTCAAAGCAGAGGATCATGAAGGAGGACTCTTGGGTTCTCACCCCAGCTTGACCACTGATGTGCTGAATGACCTTGGAAATCACTTTTCTGTGTCTGTTTCCCCAATATTCCTTTGAGGAACAGTAGCATTACCATCCCCATTGTAAAACAAGGGCACAGACCCGTGAAGTGATTCACCCAATGATGCACGCTGGCAGAGCTGGTCAAAAGGATGTTTGCTTGTAAAGTGAGCTATCTGAAATACTCTGCTGGAAAGGCACTAAATATAGAGATGCAAAGCATTAGTTGGAGCCATGCTCTGCCTGTGCGATGGACTGGACCAGGGTGATTGGAATGCTGAAAAAAATCTTTACTTGTTAGGTAGGTAGCTTGAGAGATATGACAAAGTTCCTCCTCTGCCTTGGTGGGTCCTGCACTTATTGGCAGCTTTGCTGTCCTCAGAGGTTCACGGCAGCCCTCAGTTTGGCCACTTTTGCTAGTGGCTCAAACCTGCCATTCACTCAGCTAACCTCATCACTGGCCAGCATGGGGAAAAGGAAGGAGAACAATCCCCGCAGTTCTGGGGGGAGGGATAGCTCAGTGGTTTGAGCATTGGCATGCTAAACCCAGGGTTATGAGTTCAATCCTTGAGGGGGCCATTTAGGGATCTGGGGCAAACATTGGGGCCTGGTCCTGCTTTGAGCAGGGGGTTGGACTAGATGACCTCCTGAGGTCCCTTCCAACTCTGATATTCTGTGATACTCTGCTGAGCCACCTAGTGGGTCAGGGGACAAGCCAGGGACATTCCCCTCTGGTGGGACCCACAGTCCAGGTCAACTCCTCTTATATCCAATAGGAGGGAGGGATATGGGCGGAACGTACTCCGTGTTTCAGCCCGAGGCCCTGTGGATCACAGCTGTCTACTGTGTTTCTGTAACACCTTGCAACAGCTACAACTCCCTGGGCTACTTCCCCATGGCCTCCTCCCAACACCTTCTTTATCCTCACCACAGGACCTTCCTCCTGATGCCAGATAGCATTTGTACTCCTCAGACCTCCAGCAGCAAACCCTCTCAGCTCCTTGCATGCCCCTCACTGACTGAAGTGATGTCCTTTTTAAACCAGGTGCCCTGATTAGCCTGCTTGTCTCAGTGGATTCTAGCAGCTTCTTAATTGGCTCCAGGTGTCCTAATTAGCCTGCCTGCTTTAATTGGTTCCAGGAGGTTCCTGATTGTTCTGGAACCGCCTCTGTTACCTTACTCAGGGAAAAGGGACCTGCTTAATCTGGGGCTAATGTATCTGCCTTCCATCTATAAAACCAGGGTAAGGAGGTTGGCCAATGAAGTCTCCTGTGACTGTGGGGCCTATTTCCGATCCTCGGTCCGTTTATGTGTCTGGGCAGAGTTCCTCTGGGCGGTGTCCACTGACTCCCTTGATGCCTTTGAGGAGCAGTGGGCGCTGTCCGGGGTTCTCTGCTCGGTGACCCCGTCCGGTTCCCTCCGTCTGACCCTTTGATTGAGGGGAAGAGCGAGAGACACCAGCCCCAGCCATTGCCGCTGTGGATATCATCATTCCTGTCATCTAGGAGGGGTCCTATAATACATGGGTGTCTACCCCCCCACCCCTAAACCGCCCACCCCGCAGCCGTGCCCATCTTACCGGGCACTCTCAGGAGAGGGAGGATCGGTGACACTGGGCGCGGCACTAGGTAACTCGAGGGGGTGGAAGACCACGAGTGTCGAGGAAGCCCCCCCGCTCTAGGCCACCAGGTAACTCAGGAGGGTGGAAGACCACGAGTGTCGAGGAAGCCCCCCCGCTCTGGGCCCAGGCTAGCCTGAACACTTCTCCCTCCTGAAAGCTGCTGTGTTGTACCTTCTGATTGCGTTGTTTTGTTGCATAGTTGTTTTGTTTCTTTGGTAATTCTGTAAGCGTTACCAATAAACTTTCTTTCTGTTTCAAAAAAAAAAAACAAAAAACCGCCTCTGTTACCTTACTCAGGGAAAAGGGACCTGCTTAATCTGGGGCTAATGTATCTGCCTTCCATCTATAAAACCAGGGTAAGGAGGTTGGCCAATGAAGTCTCCTGTGACTGTGGGGCCTATTTCCGATCCTCGGTCCGTTTATGTGTCTGGGCAGAGTTCCTCTGGGCGGTGTCCACTGACTCCCTTGATGCCTTTGAGGAGCAGTGGGCGCTGTCCGGGGTTCTCTGCTCGGTGACCCCGTCCGGTTCCCTCCGTCTGACCCTTTGATTGAGGGGAAGAGCGAGAGACACCAGCCCCAGCCATTGCCGCTGTGGATATCATCATTACTGTCATCTAGGAGGGGTCCTATAATACATGGGTGTCTACCCCCCCACCCCTAAACCGCCCACCCCGCAGCCGTGCCCTTCTTACCGGGCACTCTCAGGAGAGGGATAATCGGTGACACTGGGCGCGGCACTAGGTAACTTGAGCGGGTGGAAGACCACGAGTGTCGAGGAAGCCCCCCCGCTCTGGGCCCAGGCTAGCCTGAACACTTCTCCCTCCTGAAAGCTGCTGTGTTATACCTTCTGTTTGCGTTGTTTTGTTGCATAGTTTGTTTTGTTTCCTTTGGTAATTCTTTGTAAGTGTTACAAATAAACTTCTTTTCTGTTTCAAAAAAACAAAACAAAAAACCGCCTCTGTTACCTTACCCAGGGAAAAGGGACCTGCTTAATCCGGGGCTAATCTATCTGCCTTCCATCTATAAAACCAGGGTAAGGAGGTTGGCCAATGGAGTCTCCTGTGAGTGTGGGGCCTATTTCTGATCCTCGGTCCGTTTACATGTCTGGGCAGAGTTCCTCTGGGTGGCGTCCACTGACTCCCTTGATGCCTTTGAGGAGCAGTGGGCGCTGTCTGGGGTTCTCTGCTTGGTGTCTCCGTCCGGTTCCCTTCGTTTGGCCCTTTGACCACGCTCCTGTCCCTGTTGTTTCATTAGTTGTCCCCCATACTCACTGGGCTTCCAGGTCCTGTGGATCCCCCTCGTAGGCTGGGGGGGATCCTTTAGCAGTGGGCAGGCTTCTGCTTGCCTACTTCCTGGATCCCAATAGGATCATTCTCCTGAAGCCATGTGGCCCAACCCTGTCACAGAGATCAATGATTGTTTTAAGATCTGAGATCTCCTAGTTCATTAACAGACAGGGACATAAACTAATACTAAACAGTACACCAGTGGAAAACTGGCAACTGCACACAGGAGATCTTTCCTACCCCTAGTGGTTCCCAAGAAATCTGACCTTAAAATCACATCATTCTGATTACAGCTTGGGCTTTTATCACTGCCCTGCGCATGCCTCCCTCAATTCTGAAATGACCTTAGAGGTTAGAGAACAGTTTGATCTTGAACCAACACTACACACACCATCTGAAGGACTGTTCTCACTTTCTGGGGATATATTTATTATTATTATTAGTATTGCAGTATAGGGGCTCTGTTGTGGACCAGCGCAACCCCATTGTGCTCAGCGCTATACGAACATAGAACAATTGAGGTTGGTGCCTCTAGGCACTACCATAATGCAAATAATAGAGGTTTCAGAAGGGCAGCAAACTTCTCAGAGCATTAGCAGCAAGACAAGCTAGAGCAGAGGTGGGCAAATTACAGCCCACGGGCCACATCCAACCCGCAGGACCGTCCTGCCCAGCCCCTGAGCTCCTGGCCCTGGAGGCTAGCCCCCTGGCCCCTCCCCTGTTGTCCCCCCTTCCCCACAGCCATGCCGCCATGCAGCGCAATGCTCTGGGCAGCGGGGCTGCAGAGCCCAGCCTGACCCGGTGCTCTCTGCTGCGTGGCTGCCTGTCTTGGTGCAGCCACGCTGCCAGTCACCGGTGCTCCAGAAAGCACGGTAAGGGGGCAGGAAGCGGGGGGTGGGGAGGGTTGGATAGAGGGCAGGGGAGTTCACGGGGTGGGCAGGGGCGTGGATGAGGTCGGGGCGGTCAGAGGGCGGGGAACGGGGGTTGAATGGAGGCAGGGGTCCTGGGGGGGCAGTCAGGAAGGAGAGGAGGGGTTGGATGGGGTGGCGGGGGGCCATCAGGGGACAGGGAGCAGGGGGGGTGGATGGGGCAAGGGTCATGGGGGGGCAGTCAGGAAGGAGGGGGGGTTGAATGGGGTAGTGAGGGGCAGTTAGGGGCGAGCAGTCCAGGGACGGTCAGGGAAAAGGGGTGGTTGGATGGGGCAGAGGTCCCAGGGGGGCAGTTAGGAAGGGTGGGGGTTAGATGGGGCGGGAGTCCTGGGGGGGCTGTCAGGGGGCGAGAAGTGAGGGAGTGTAGGATAGGCGGCGGGGGCTGGGCCATGCCTGGCTGTTTGGGGAGGCACAGCCTCCCCTAACTGGCCCTCCATATAATTTCAGAAACCCAATGCGGCCCTCAGGCCAAAAAGTTTGCCTGCCCCTGAGCTATATGCTAAATTCCCGCCCCACCCCCCAAATGTTCCACTTATTGAACACACTCTGTATGATGGTTTGTGTTGCCCTGAGACACTAGCCAGGTGAAAGAATTACACGATGGGCTTGTCTTAGCACAGATCAGAAAAAACATTTGCCACATTTTTCAAAGTACAAATATTACTATATGATGGTACTAGTGTTTAGAGCACAGACTGATTTCCAGCTATGTTACTGATCTACTGTATGACACTGGGCAAATCTTTTCTTCTCTGTGCCTCCTGTTCCCATTTTGTAAAAAGGGGGTAACGATGCCATCCTCACAGGGTGTTGGGAGGCCAGTCATCACTTAATGTTTGTAAAGCATTTTGTGTACTGCAGATGAAGGGTGTTATAGAAGTGCCAATACTATACCAAGCGACAACCTGCAGCTGCAAGCTTGCTTTGCATCATTCTATTTGATTGATGCAGTTTCCAGGGCACCTTCCCAAGCAAACAGTCCCAAGGATGCCAATTGCTAGCATCCAAAATGATATTAATAGATCTCAGCTATATAGCCCAGAAACTAAGGAGAATGTTTAGCCTTTATGCTAAAGAGAAAGGAAGCACTTCCCAAAGGAGCTGTGGCATGGGCAAGGGCATGAATAGATTGACAGCTTCAGATGACAAGTGTGTGGGTAACAACACATCAAAGTCTGAGCTTGGGAGCAAGACAAGAGACTGAGCTGGAGCCACTGATGTATTTGGCTTTGTCATAAATATAAGGGGAAGGCTAACCACCTTTAAATCCCTTCTGGCCAGAGGAAAAACCCTTTCACCTGTAAAGGTTAAGAAGCTAAGGTAACCTCGCTGGCACCTGACCAAAATGACCAATGAGGAGACAAGATACTTTCAAAGCTGGGGGGGGGATAAAGGGTTCTCTCTGTCTGTGTGTTGCCTTTGCTGGGACCAGAGCAGGAATGCAGGTCAGAACTCCTGTAAAGGGCTAATAAGGAATCTAGTTAGATATGCGTTAGATTCTGTTTTGTTTAAATGGCTTATAAAATAAGCTGTGCAGGATGGAATGTATATTCCGGTTTTTGTGTCTTTTTGTAACTTAAGGTTTTGCCTAGAGGGATTCTCTATGTTTTGAATCTTATTACCCTGTAAGGTATTTACCATCCTGATTTTACAGAGGTGATTCTTTTACTTTTTCTTCAATTAAAATTCTTCTTTTAAGAACCTGATTGCTTTTTCCTTGTTCTTAAGATCCAAGGGTTTGGGTCTGTGTTCACCTATGCAAATTGGTGAGGATTTTTATTAAGCCTTCCCCAGGAAAGGGGGTGTAGGGTTTGGGAGGATTTTGGAGGAAAGACGTTTCCAAGCGGGCTCTTTCCCGGTTATGTATTTGTTAGACGCTTGGTGGTGGCAGCAATAAAGTCCAGGGGCAAAAGGTAAAATAGTTTGTACCTTGGGGAAGTTTTAACCTAAGCTGGTAAAAATAAGCTTAGGGGGGTTTTCATGCAGGTCCCCACATCTGTACCCTAGAGTTCAGAGTGGAGAAGGAATCTTGACAGGCTTAATATTGTACAATGAGAGAATCTGAAAGAAATGTCTTGAGATCAGCCAGGGAAGGGCTTCTTGTGAAAGGAGACAAGCTTTAGATGCCTTGGCTCTTGAGATGGGGCCCATGCTGCACAGGACTGATGTGATCAACCTATACTGTGCTTCAGAGCAACCATTGCATTCAGAAATTACAAGGGATAAATATCCACCAAGAAGGGAAGGGAGTGTAATGATTGCTTATTCCAGGCCAGGACTTAGGGAGATCCTGTGTGGTGACACAAGGCAGCACAGGCTGTGTCAGTCTGGGAGCAAGAGAATCAGGGAATCACAGGGTCCGCCTGCATCCAGCAGCCTCAGTAAAGAATCCTTCTATTCTATCTTTACAATTGAGTCACCACTCTTCCCTACCACCAGGGACACTACGGGGCAGTTGCCATAGCTGTGTGCACTTGAAGATTATAACATCAGTAAAAACAAAGCTAAGCACTTACTCAAGCTGTGTTCTTGTGAGGAACAGCAGTGTGAATAGAGCAGTCAAAGAGGTCAGAGACTAGTAGGAGAAATCCTTCCACAGTGGTCACCTTCCTGCACCCGCGTCTCTTTCTAGCTATTGGTTCTTTATAGCAGCTAGGCAGCAAGAAGGCCACTCATGGCAGAAGACAGAAATATGTGGCTGGATAGTGAAATCACAACCAATACCACTGGCTTAATGGCCCTAAGAGATGAGAGCATATACAGTAGATCATTAGTTGTCAATTTGTTGCTGATCCTTGGGTTAGGAGGAAAGGCAACGTTATACATATGGTAACCTGGTGAGCTTCTGCTGACACAATCTAATTTACTAATACAAATCTCACCAAGGGAACAATAACTCCCCCTGCATGAAGTATCAACACAACAGACTCTATGCAAGCTAGATTATGCTGGCATCATCAAAACTGATTCTAAAATTACTTAATTTTAGGCACAGTCACGTGAGTTTATATATAACAAACAACAACAAGGTACCAGCAGCAAAGAGGCTGTGTGAAGTGAATGTTATCACTGCTAGGAGTGAAAGAACAACCTAAGCGTTGAAACCGACAGGCAGGTCTTAGGACCAGATCCTCAGCTGATGTAGATGGGCATAGCACTAGTGACTTCCGTGGAGCTAGGCTGATTTACACCAGCAGAGGATCTGGCCCCTGATCTGGTTTAATGGCTTATTCTATCCACCCTGTCTAGGTTTTCATACGACACTGCTCTGTAATATCTGAGTGCTTGGATTGTGGTCTTTTAGTTACTCAAACTGAACTGATTGTAGAGGGCAACCCCTCGATGGAGACAACAGGGGAACACTTGTTCCTCTGTACATTATTTACTAGCTCACTTACTTAGTCTCATCAGTAGATTTGTGGGGAGCAATTTCTCTCTTGTTCTTATACACCCCAGTGGGCACATTCCTGACATCTCATCAAGAAGACAGTACAAACACACCCGCTATTAGCAATATGTTTTCCACAGTGAGAGAAACCAGCAACAAAAGGATGACTAACTTCTTAAAGCATATGCACGGAGGCAGTCAGAGGTGTGAGTGCAGCGCATGTAGACAGACCCAGATGAGCTTTAATCTAGCTAGCACTCATGCTAGCCACAGTAACACCAGCTTCAGTGCAGGTTGTACAAGCCCACGCAGGACCCTGGGTATTTACTTGTGCAGCCAGTGCATACTTAGGTTCATATGGCCACAACTTCACTACTATTGGTACTCATGTTAGCTAGAGGCTCATCTACACAAACATTTTGTTCGTGGCAAGCTGGGCTGTGAATCTACCTAATGCTAGCCTGCCATAGACAAACTTGACTGTGTGGATCCTGCTGACATGCATTAATAGTTCATTAATATGCTTTGATCTAATCCCAGCTCATCAGTAGGGTCCCTCTGTACAGTTAGCCCATGGGAGGCTTGTGTGGGATAGTGTCGCACCCTATCTTGCTGCAAATGAAATGTGTGTGTAGATAAACCGTAGATTAAAGCTAGTTTGGGTACGTTTACACGTGCTGGAAATACACCTCCCATCACAGTGTAGACAGACCTAAGACTCCCATGTGTCTCCTGTATTCCTAAAGGCTAGAGATGCCTGAGAACTCTTAATGAGGATACACTGCTGTGATTCATGTTCAAGTGTGTGCTTGTGTTTGAATTGGAGAGCCACTGAGGTGTGTGCTGCTTCTTTGGCTCTCCATCTCCCCAGAACCTGTAGCTGTGCTTTTGAGGAAACCTTAAGCATTTAAGGGAATCCAAGTGGGAGCTTTGTGATTCAGTGAATGAAGCCAGCCAAACTTGGCCCGCTCCCATTTGTTTTGCACTGGGCAGTGTATATGCTCTGCACTCCAGAGCCAGAGCACCTGACCTGCTGAAGTGTGTGGGGTCAGGCTGCACTCTAGTGGCTACAGCTTGCAGGGGATAGAAACCCTGATATGGCAACAGCCAATGGAGATTCTTCTTTAGCTGAAGTGTTTGGGACTTGTGGGACAGAAGATCCTGAGCTTTCTCCCCGTTGATGGCTGAGAGCGTCTATCCATGTGGCCTCTCGCTATGGAACTATCTCGTTAGGCTTCTGCCTGCAACATCCTCTTGGGTTTACTATTAAATCAAGCCTTCGTCCTTCCAGCCCCGCTGTCAGCAGCACAAGATCTTGAGGAAAGCTTTGCGGAACTCAGTGTTAAAGGTCGTGTAGATGATGGGGTTGAGAGCGCTGTTTACATAACCAAGCCATGTGGTGGCACTGTAGAGCTCTGGGGTTATGTGACAAGCCTGGCAGTGAGTGTTCAGGATGTGGGTCATGAAGAACGGCAGCCAGCAGACTATGAATGTCCCTAGGGTTTAAAGGAGAGACGAGAGAACATACTGACTTTGGATTAACGCTGTTGCTCAGGGCTAAACTCTGCCCCACTTATACCCATGCCAGACTGGGTTCTTCTGCCAGAAATGTGACTGGGCAAGTCACCTCACCTCACCATGCCTCAGTTTCCCCTTTTGTAAAGTGAGGTTCATATCACCCACCACAGTCATGTTTCCTGCATGCACATGTTCACCAACTCAGGCTCGTTCCTGCTCTTTAAGACACATGTAACTCAATAAACTACAGAAACCGATAGAGAGGTGTGATCTTATTTACAGAGAGAGGGGCATCATCCTAATCTCCACTACTGGGAGATTGACACTGCTGCAATCGAGGCAGCAGGGATTGATTTAGCATGTCTAGTGAAGACCCACTAAATCAGTAGAGTGCTCGGTGATCAACAGGGTTGCCAACCCTCCTGGTTTCGTCAGGAGTCTCCGTCAGGAGTCTCCCAGAATCAGGTTTGATCTTCCATAGGCTACTGCAGCCAAACTGGGAGATTTTAGGCACTAAAACTCCAGCGGGGCTAAGGAGGCTCCCTGCCTGCCTTGGCTCCGCACCGCTCCTGGAAGCGGTCGGCATCTCCCTGCGGCCCCTGGGGGTCTCCGTATGCTGCCCCTGCCCAAGCGCTGGTTCCACAGCTCCTATTGGCTGGGAACCATGGCCAATGGGAGCTGCGGGGGCGGTGCCTGCAGGTGGGGGCAGCGCACAGAGACCCTCTTGCTGCCCCCCCCCCCCCACCTAATAGCCGCTGCCAGAGCGATGTGCCGGTCGCTTTTGGAAACCGTCTGAGATAAGCGCCACCTGGCCAGAGCCTGCACCCTGGTTCCCCTCCCCCAGCCCTGAGCCCCCTCCCACAGTCAAACTCCCTCCTAGAGCCTGCACCCCTCACCCTCCCCACTCTCCCGCACCTCCTCCTGCACCCAAACTCCCTCCCAGTGCCTGCACCCCCTCCTGCACCCAACCCCCTGCCCCAGCCTGGTGAAAGTGAGTGAGGGTGGGGGAGAACAAATTACAGAGGGAGGGGAGGATGGAGTGAGCAGGGGTCAGGGCCTGGAAGAAGGGGCATGGCTGTGGCCTCAGGAAAGGGGTGGGGCAGGGGTGGGGAAAGGGTGTTTGGGTTTGTGTGATTAGACTGTTGGCAACCCTACCCAGTACTCCAGCTCTCTGAGAAGAGTAAGGGAAGTCAACTGGAGAGTGTCTCCTGTCAACTCAGCACAGTGTAGACGCTGCAGTAAGTTGACCTAAGCTACGTCGACTCCAGCTATGTTATTCACGTAGCTGGAGTAGCGTAACTTAGGTCAACTTACCCCAGAGGGAAGACAAGCCCTAAGGGACTTTTCTTATTGACCTACACCTGGGGTGGTGGTGGTCAAAAATAAGTGATAGCTCAAAAGATTCACAGTACAGAGGGGCACCCAAAAGTTGAGATGATTATCAGAACTTTTAAGTCTCTCTTCCTTGTCCCTTAACATTTCCTTCTGTGGAAGAAGAGATCTTTCTGAATTCAGTAGAGCTACAATGATTCACACCAGCTGGGGCTCTCAGTTACAAAAGTCCCTTATATCACTTTATGCTAGTATTCTGAATTTCAATAGCATCTTACATGTGGAGATCTCAAAGCACTTTCCAAACACTTAGCCTCACAGTGAGATGGTTAAGCAGAATGCTTCTCACTCACCCAGAACGATAGCCAGCATTTGTGTGGCCTTCCTCTCTCTCAGCTGTACTGTCCGGGGCTGCTGGTGCACTAGCTTCAAAGAGGTCAAGGTTTGGCCATTGCTGAGTTTATGCACCTCCAAGTTCTGTTCCCTGCTTCTTCTCTCCTCTTTTAGCTCATTTCCATTGGTCCCGGTCCTGGGGAAGGAAGCTTGGTGGCAGAAGCTGCAGTACGGCTGCAGGTCAGAGGGGGTCAGCAGCTTCTTTTCAGGGGAAAGCTCTTGGATTGGGGATTTTAGCTGCAGACGGGATGAGAGGGGGTCTTGGTGCCCATGGTGCAAAGTTTCCTTCTCTTTGTGCTCCTGAAATGGAGGAATCCACAGAAATGTCAGGAAATAGGGTGAACAATGCAGTTTGCCAAAGCAAGTGTAAAGCGGGACTCAAGGGAGCTCTTGTTCCCTTTCAGCAGCAAGGAGTAGGCCTGAATCAACGCCCAGGATGCAAATTCACCCAAACTTTGGGTAGGTTCCAGATCCATTCTTGGAGCTGGAGCTGAACTTTGCACCTGACCCCTATCTCACAGTGGGATGACCTAGAACCCTGCATTTCTACTTTGCACTAAGGCCCAGAACCTCAAAGGTGTTCAGGCTCCTAACTTGTATTAATATCAGTGGAAGCTAGGAGTCTAAATTCCTTTGAGGACCTGTGCCCTAGCTCTATCTTTAACTGGATGAACAAGAGCCCTGGATGTGAACCTTCCATTTCCCAGCCGCCCGACTTTGGAGTATATTTGTGCTTAATGGTATTCCCTGCCTCCCCTTATGCATATTTTCCAGTGTAGCATTATTGTGAGGAAACCTCACACGTTAATTCAATATTGTGGAGCCACATATGGAGCAGAGCAAGCAGAATTCTGTAGCTGTTTGACCCTTTGTGAGGAGAGCTTTAACAGTTTGCAATCCCTGAGGCTCTGATAATTAAAAATATCCATAAAAATGAAAGAAAAAAAAAAGCCAGAATGCTGTAGGGTCATTCTGTCACAGCTCTGAAGAAGCACTGATTTAGGCCTTGCCCTTCTCTGCTGTGATGGTCTTAGAGAGTGGAGATACGGATACAAGCTCCAGAACAGTATCCCCTTGTTTGAGGACCGGACAAGGCTTTGGTTGGAGCCCCTATTCCAGGGGTGTTTCTGCGGAGCAACAGGAGGTATTTTTCTTCCTCCACACCTAGCACTGAATGCCTTGACTTGCAACACCCCCCCAGACTGGGGAGCAAGAGTCAAACCAGGGTTTCCTATGTATTGATGGAAAGTGCTAAGCAATAAGCTCCCCAGGCTCAGTTTAAGGGATGGTAGTGGAGGCAGAGAATGCTCTGGCATTTGGTGAGTTCAGACTGCTTTCATGTGGATCTTACTTTCTGTGTGTAACAGGCTTTGATGCTGATGCTATGGCTGCCCTGCCTGGAGAGGCTTCGTTTCCTCTGTCTCTGCTTCAGCACAAAATAAATCCGGACATAAAGCAGCAAGGTGACCATGAAGGGAAGGTAGAAGGATACCACCGAAGAATAGATGACAAAATCAGGGTTGGATATGGAACAGACACTAGGATCCCCTGGAGAAAGAGAGAGAGAGAAAGAGAGCGGGAATGGTTAGACTTCTATGGACTTCGGGAACTACAAGGATGTTTTGCTGCACATCAAGGTGAACCAAAGTGTTGCTCATGAGCCAAATGTGGCCTGTGTTTAATGCAGCCGAGGACTATGTCATAGAGGTGCAACTCCAGAGATATAGGCCAGCATGCCAAGTTACATTTCGGCCTATCTGTCTGTTTGTCTCTACTCATCACAGTGGTATGTGAGTGCCTCCACTTTCTGGGTAGTCTAGGCTGAGCTGGTCAAGCACAGACCAATGCACTAGAACAGCAGCAGGTCAATGTCAGACTGGAGAGTGCCCTCAAATATAGGGCCTCCTTGTGAATTGAACCCTTTTCCCCGCTTTAGATGCAGGATTTGTAGTTCTCAGCAGCTGCCTCTGACAGTTAGACTTTGTAGGCCACGTTTGGCCATTGGGCCAACTTTGGGCACCCCCATTTCTAATCGTGCTCAGGCACTCCTGCTCTGGAAATTGCTGTTACCTGTGGTATTGAAGCCAAACAGGAGGGGGCAGGACACAGCAAATGCCAACATCCAGACCATCACGATCATAATGGAAACCCTCCTGCAGGAGCTCTTCCCTGTGCCATACTGATACTGAACTGGCATCGCCACTGCTGTGTACCTGCGAAAGGAACCAGCTCCAAAGAGAGAGGGAGGAGGAAGAAAGGCGTGGAAAGGAGACAGTGATCGAAACAAAAGAGAGAGTGAAAGAGAGAGAGAAAGGGCCCAGGTTTGACAGGGATGAGCGAAGGCAGCGTGAGAATGGGAGACAGGGAATATGATAGTGAAAGTAGTGGATATAAGAGAGAGGGAGAGAACCAGGAGATTGAATAATTAGAGCAAGGATTTGCAATGGTGGTAAGCAGGGTGGGAAAGGGAACAAGAGAAACAACAGAGAAGCAGACTGTCACTTATCATCCCTAAGGTTAATGATGAACAGCTGATATTGCCCCAGAGGTGAGGCAGAAGGCTAGAATGAAGGCTACCAGCTCTGGATGCCGTGAGATCTGGGGAAGATGACAGATATGGCTGGAAACTCAGGGCATGAGCCAACTCATTGATCCTGTCATTCAAATCAGTGGAAAGGCTCCCACTAACTTCAGTGGGCTTTGGACTAGGCACTCTGTGACGCTTGCTTTGCACAGTTTCCTCTGAATCATGGTAAAAGGAGAATGGCAGGATGTGTTTCTCCCCCAGTCTCCCAATCCCCAGGGACTTCAGCCCCCTAAAGCTGCACCTTCTGAGGTCTGTGCCAAGTTTTGTGGCCATCCCTATCACCACCACACACAGACATTGTCATAAATATAAAGGGAAGGGTAAACACCTTTAAATCCCTCCTGGCCAGAGGAAAAATCCTTTCACCTTAAAGGGTTAAGAAGCTAAGATAACCTCGCTGGCACTTGACCAAAATGACCAATGAGGAGACAAGATACTTTCAAAGCTGGAGGGGGGTGTGGGGGGGAACAAAGGGTTCGCTCTGTCTGTGTGATGCTTTTGCCGGGACCAGAGCAAGAATGCAGGTCAGAACGCCTGTAAAGAGTTAGTAAGCAATCTAGTTAGATATGCGTTAGATTCTGTTTTGTTGAAATGGCTGATAAAATAAGCCGTGCTGGATGGAATGTATATTCCGGTTTTTGTGTCTTTTTGTAACTTAAGGTTTTGCCTAGAGGGATTCTCTGTGTTTTGAATCTGATTACCCTGTAAGGTATTTACCATCTTGATTTTACAGAGGTGATTCTTTTACTTTTTCTTTAATTAAAATTCTCTTTTAAGATCCTGATTGCTTTTTCCTTGTTCTTAAGATCCAAGGGTTTGGGTCTGTGTTCACGCATGCAAATTGGTGAGGATTTTTATCAAGCCTTCCCCAGGAAAGGGGGTGTCGTGCTTGGGGGGATATTCTGGGGGGGAGACGTTTCCAAGTGGGCACTTCCCCTGTTCTTTGTGTAACACTTGGGTGGTGGCAGCGTTTAACCTAAGCTGGTAAGAATAAGCTTAGGGGGTCTTTCATGCAAGTCCCCACATCTGTACCCTAGAGTTCAGAGTGGGGAAGGAACCTTGACAGACATTCACTGGAACTTGATTTAAACACTAATCCCTTCAGTCCCACAATGTTACCAGTCATCTGCTCCACTTCAGGGTGTGTTAAAACTATGGCAAGGCTGGAGAGCACATCAAGATAGTTTTTCTCTCTTTTAAGCTGTGTTTAGTAAAACCTCACAGGTGAGACTTTCAAAGACAAAGGGAACTTAAGCACCCACTCCCATTGAAAGTCAATGGGAGTTAGAGGCCTAATTCACTTTTGTACTTTTGAAAATCTTCCCCTCTATTATCAAGGCCTGGAAAACCACCCCATGAACACTTTCCTTGTATGATGTGCGTCTTTGCCCCACCCTCTGTTTCTCTGCCTTTTTATAGCATAAGCTCTTTCTGGCAGGGACTGTGCCATCTTCCGTGTTTGTACAGCACCTAGCACATGGGAGGCACGACTGTAGCAACAACAATACTAGTCATAATGATGATGGTGGCTGGAGGCTTTCAAGAAGGACTGGATTCTTCCAGATGATCTGCTTTACCTTTGGCATTTAGACAAGTTATTTGTACCCAACCATTGTGCAAGCAGGCCCAGCCTGCTGTCCCTTCCATCCTCAGTCCCGAGACCTACCCCTAGCTTCATGCTAATCTCCTTGGCTCCTACCTGTCAATGCTGATAGCACAGAGGTTTAAAATGCTGGCTGTGCACATCATCACATCCATAGTGACAAAGATGTCGCAGCAGACGCGGCTGAAATTCCAGACTCCTCCAGTCACCTGAGCATCAATTTCAAAATATTAGCCTTGTTTCACACTGGATACCAATGCATTGCACGTCTATTTGTCCTTCCATCTGAGGATATCAAAATGACTGTGTGAACATTAATGATGCATTATTATGCCTTTTTTATAGAGGGGGAAACTGAGGCATGTAGTGTTTAAGCAATTTGCCCAAAATCATACAGTAGTAGGTCAAGAATAGAACCAGGAGTCCTGATTCCCATTCCACTGCTTTGTGTGCGCTGCAAGGGGATGAAGGTGAGAAAATTAGGAGAAAACAGCCCCTACCCCAACATTTTAGCATGAAGACTGCCACAGAAACTGAATTACAACTAATGTAATACACAGTTCCTCTGTTTAAGGAAAATCACAGACAAAACAAATACAAAATGAGTGGCTAAGAATGTTTCTCAGCTTGGCTTCTGGAATTATTCCAGAGCCAATGAACTGGGAAATTGACTCTGTTGCCCAGGGATTTTGCATATTCATATGACGCACAGATCCTTCTCCAGAATCTTGTCTGAAATCTTATTTCACTTGTTCTAAAGGAGGGCCTGAGCTGCCAACTTTGAATATTAGATCTGGATCCAAACTTTCCCAAAATTCACACGGTCGTGAAATTTGGGGGTTTGGTTTGCACCCATTTATAGTTTCCTTTCATTTACATTTAAAATGTAATGTAAAATATATAGAATAATGTCATGGAGGCGTCCAGTGACGGATAAATCACATGCTCAGCCCAACTGTCAGATTTTAGTGAGGACTTTTTCAAATTCTGCACACGCTCAGATCAACACTCTGGCATGTAAATGCCTGGTATACCTAGCTAAGCTCCAGTGCGGAGGCCCAACTGCAAAATTGTAATGTCCTCTTTAAGTGCTAGTGTTGGGAAGTTGAATCTACAGGAGATGCTTTGGGAATTCTGAACACACCAAGGGTCATATGTGATCACCTCCTAGATTATTAGTTACTGAAGAATAGACCATAGCTCCTTGGACTGTTCATTCCCTCTAGATTTCTAATAAAGACTCAATGTTGCTGACTCACCTCTGACACTGATGCCAGGCTAGAATTCCACTGGCTAGGTCGTAAAGCACCAAGGATCATTAAGCTGTTCAGAGCACTTGATGAATTGTCCATTACAGGACCTCTAATAAATTTGTTGCTAGTGCTGGTGAAAAGTGTTAGAGTGACAGCCACGGAGACAGAATGCTTGTTTTTAATCCACAGAAAATCAAGGGCAGCAGAAAGGATTGCTTCCCCCAACCTTTCCACCCCGCAGAAATAGCGGAGGAAAAAGCTGCTTCGAATGAGGGAATTTGTCCTACTTTTTTACTTAGGATCACAGCTCATGGTTTCAATGGGCTCCTCACCTGCTTCACTGCAGTGGCAGCAGCAATGACCAAGAGCACTTGGTCAGGGTGTTGCGACCTTTCCTTTCAGATGTGGATCTCGCCACAGTGATCCCTGCCATTTTTCCCTCCAGACTGGATCATTGCAATGTGCTCTACACCTGAAAACCATTCGGACCCGTCAGCTGAGTGCAGAATGTGGCTGCCAGCTTGTTGAATTGGGGCTTCTCATAGAGACCGTATTACCCATGTGCTCCGTGATCTGCACTGGCTCCCAGTTCATTTCTGGGGGCAGTTTGATGTGTTGGCTTTAAGCAATAAATCCCTAAAGAGGATGGGTGCTGGTTATTGCAGCAGCTGCCTCCCTCCCTGGGTGATACCACGGCAGCTGTGATCAGCAGAAGTGCTCAGACTTACTGTCCCCTCATTGACAAGGAAGGGGCCTGGAGGGGAGGGGTGCTTGACTCCAGAAGTAATTTTCTTTGCTGTTCCACAGGAGTCTGAAATTGTTGAAATTGGGGATTGGGGTGTGGGAGAAAGCTCTAGGCTGGGGCAGGGGGTTCGGGTGTGGGGGGGTGAGGGCTCAGGCTGGGGGTGTGGGCTCTGGGGTGGGGCTGGGGATGAGGGGTTTGGGGTGCAGGAAGGGGCTCAGGGCTGAGGTAGGGTGTTGGGGGGGGTCTGGGGTGCTGGCACCCAGTTTGGATGCAGGAAGGGACTCCGGGCTGGGGCAGGGGGTTGGGATGCGGGAGAGGGTTTGGGATGTGGGGGTCCCAGCGATGTTTACCGCAGCTCCTGGAAGCAGCTGCCAGGTGCCTGAAGCCCCTAGGCACAGGGCGGTTCCGCGCGCTGTCCTCGCACCCTCAGACGCCACCCCCACATCTCCCATTGGTTGCAGTTCCTGGCCAATGGGAGCTGCAGAGCTGGCACTAGGGGTGGGGGCAGTACACAGAGCATCGCTGGCCACCCATGTGTCTAGGGGCTTCAGGGACCTAGTGGCCGCTTCCGGGAGCCTGCCTTAGCCTGGGGCCCTACTGCGCTGCCAACCGGACTTTTAACGGCCCGGTTGGTGGTGTTGACTGGAGCCACCAGGGTCCCTTGTTGACCAGGCATTCCAGTCAAAAACTGGATGCCTGGCAACCCTAGCTCGTACCAGTCCCCTAGCACTAGCTTCCCTGTTCTGGATATCAGTTTCGGAGGGCCAGGATTTTTTTCTCTCTCTCTCTCTCTCTCTCTCACACACACACCCTATCCGCCCCCATCTGCTAATGAATCTGGTCTCCTGATTGGTTGAAGACTCCAGCAGGCACTTTCTTAACACCTGTAGCAAGGCCTGGTCTCTGGCTGTTCAGTACAGTTCCATGCTTGCAGCTGTGTTTCTGGTCTTGATCTTGCCTACTCCTTGCTCTTTGTAGTTAGTTCCTGCTCCTGCTCCGGTTCTGACTCTTGCCCCCTGCTTCCTGGCTCTGGCTTGTTCCCTGGACTGGGTAATTTGGTTCCTCATTTGGGTTCTGGTCACTAGGCCTGATCATCCCTATTCAGCCATTTGGCCAGCCTCCTGTCCTGACCATTAGGTAAGGCTGCCGACAGCATGTTTCTTAACACACATGCCTCTCTCCATGCTGGCAAAGGGGGGCCTTCAAAAAAATAAAACCAAATTCATTTTTTGAAATGAAAACGTTACCTCTGGAAGCATATTATGTCTGTAACAAACATCTCTGATTCCCAGCTATGGGATGGCCTGAGGTCTTGCTCTCAGCTCCTGCTGTCATAGTGATCTGTGTAGGAGGAGAGAAACCAGAAAGAAGCCTCCCTTCCATAAACTAAGTATAATCAGAGGTGCAGAGTGAGCTAGTGCCGGGGTCTAATTTTATCCTCCCGAGGGAAAACCTGTGGGGAGGAGTAAGGAGGAATCCAAATTCTTATTTCAGGCGGTTGGATTTGCCCTCCTTTTGCAGAAGAACTGGGGGAGTTCAGCTTCCAAACTCTGCAGATTTCCTGGGATCCAAGTGGATCCTGGACATCAACCAGACATTTGCACTGGCTCCTTGCAACCTACGCCAGCTTCCTGAGAGTATGGCTTCAAGGACTCCTCAACAGACAGCTGCTTCCCCATAAGGGGATGCATCACAGCAGAGAGAGGCTCTGCAAGAAAACTAATGCAGTATCTGAGTGTAATAATTTTCCTCCTCATTTCCTGTGGGGTAAGTGGGGAATGATGGGCTCCCTCTCTTATCCCCAGTCTGCATCCAGCCTTTCTGGACCTACAGAAAGTGATGAATGAGGTCTGGAGCAGAGCGTGATGGTGTCATGAAAGTGGCTTCCTACCACACCATGGGCAACCAAGTTGTAGAATTCCTCACATAAGGAACACTCATGCAAGGTCAGTTAGTAAGTGGTACTGTTATTAATTTCAGCTTCTAAGGCAACAGGCAGTGTGGAAAGTGCAGAAAGCAAATGAGGAGGCAATTCTCTGAAATGAGACCACTCTGCTGCTGCTTAATGTTTTTAATTCCTGTAAACTATGTGCTTGAGTGAATGAAGCATTCAGCATCTGTTCAGCTCCCCTTCCTGGTCCTACTGCTCAGTATCTGAAATGCTTGTTGTTATTCATTAGTTACTGTTTATTTTATGCCAGCATTCCCAGAGATGTGCAAAATGTGGTGATATATTGTGCTATCTGGTGCTTTTCTTGAAAGCTAAGATTCTCACCTAATCATGTGTCTCCTGGAGACACATGATTAGGTGAGAATCTTAATTTTTATTTTATTTCTTTTAAATGAAAGCTAGGTTTCTAGCCCTCATGGCTGTGGAGAAAAGCTTGAAAACCTGAACCATAAAGGCTATGACACTAGAAAACAAAGGCCCTACAAGTTATTTTTATAAATCTAAATTTGTAAACCCATGTTATGATATTTTGAGACCAACGTCATGACTTTTTGAATGTGTGAAGCTGACAATACTGAAATTTTTGCAAGAGAATCACAAAAAGGGCATCTGGCTTCATAGTTTGATGCAAACACAAAACTCATTACAAGTTCGTCATAAGGTCTGTGGTGCTTCAAGAACCTTTCACCAGAAGTTGGAGTCAGGAGGTTGCATCAAAGCCAGGTGCAGAGGACACAGCTCATGTATGTCAAATGTGGTAGCTTACAAAGTCCTGGGCTCATTAGCGCATGAAAATCTGGGAATATGAACCACTGGAAGTGATACTGAAGAAAATTTTGGCAGAAAATGCTCTGAAGTGAAACCTCTCAGGGTTACACATTCAGACTAGACTGACTACATACTGAGTCTTAGCATATAGAAAAGGGATGTTTGTCAGATCAAAATGATGGGTTGAAATCTGTTCTCATTTGCCCCAGTCAGCACTTCTAAATATGGAGTAACTCTATTGAAGTCAGTGGAATTACTCAATATTTGTCCCAGGGTAGCTGAGATCCGAATTTGACGTAGATTATTACAAGTTGAAAAATTTTTATAGACCTAATTTGCCTTTTGCTATTTTTGATCTTTCTTTTCTTCTTCTATTCCGTTTAGCTTTGTTAATGAAACTAGAACTTGTCAGTTTGCCTTTCTGGTTCTCATATTGTAGTTGGGATACTTATATGACCTTCCTAGTGCCTTTCATCTGAGGATCTCAAAGCATTTCATAACTATTTTACTAAATTAATCCTCGCAACCACCCTTGTGAATTAAGTGGGTTTTAACTCCATTTCACATATGGTGAACCTGAAACATAGACAGATGGGGTGGCAGGCTTCTGAGATCACCCACTGAGTCAGTGACATTGCTGGGAATAGAGCCCATGGGTGAAATCCTGGCAAAACTCCTCTTGACTTCAGATTTCTTGACTGCTAGTCCTGTGCTTTATCCACAAGATCAATGTTATGTTTAGCTTTTCCACCACTGTTGGAAATATTGCCAGTGAAAGGTATCGGATTGGCAGCCATGGAGACTCAAAAAAGGTAGAAATGATAAATGAAAAAACATTAAAATGTGACAGTCTCAAACACATCTTGAATAATAGGATTATAGTCTTCATTCCACTGAGCCCCTTTTGAAAATGTACAAAACGAAATATGGCCACCTGCAGATTTTAAAAGTTGTGTCTGGGCACTGATGCCACACCTAGGAGTCCAGGAGCAATGATGACCCACGTGAAAACATGAGGTTGAGAGTCACTTTGGCTGAAAGCTATGGTGGACTTGACGGTCTACTTCATTGTGCTTCTCACTGTCCATTAGCATTGTCTCTCTTATTCAAACGTGGCTTCCGCCACCTGGCTTCCCTCCAGATCTCAAACTCTGCCAGACACTGGTGGTGGCTACCGTCTAGGTCTGAAGAAAAGGTGCTAGGTATCACTAGCATTCTGATGTTGCAGCCCATGTTCTGCATTGACTTTACAGAGATGTAAGGAAAGAAAGAGAGAGGCCACCAGGGGGATAAGCAGTTGCCCACCCCCCTCCTCTGAGATGTCAGACAATTCCATCCACCCCTGTGGAGATGGAATTTGCAGCCACTCATGTCAACAGCAGCTCATGATCAAATATTTTTTTGAAAGATCTGTGGTAGCAGTAGCCATAAAGGGGACTAGGCTTCACTCACTTCCCTCAGGAAATCATCAGTCACTGTGATGAATGGGTGTTTTTGTGCCAAGAAACCTGACTGGTTGGGTTCCAAGACTTTGAAGCTATAAGATGATGCCATGGTTGGCCTGCTAGCACCATCTCAATCTTTCTCAGAAAGGGATGGCTATTGGCTCAGTGACATTTGGCAAGGACATTAGGGTCCAGAGTTCATTTCTTGGACAGGGTCCAGGCCAGATTGTGTGAAGGTTGCCTATCAAAATGTTAACAAAGTGCTTTGGGATAGCAAATGACTTGTAAATGTAAAGCCTTCAACCACCTTTGGTTGTACCGTAAATTATGAGATGGATGGCAGCAGGCTTCAGATGTGTCTTGGAAAACATGGACCCTGGAAATAACTATTTTACATGATTTTGGATATTGGTGTGAATTATTGAGTCTTCTCTGGGAATGATTGGTCACTGCACTATTAGACGAAACACAGCAGACTCACCATCATACTAAAGAATGATGCTCACAGGTGAGAGACTGCAGCTAATAGGTGGGATCACCTATTCTACAAACAATGGGAAAAATCCACCTTCTGTACTCTGAGTTTCTCACCTTTGTATTACTAGATGCATAGGAAGTGCTGTGTAATGGTCAGAGTAGTGGACTGGGACTTAGGACTCCTGGGTTCTCTTCCTGACTGGTTCCTGATTCTCTGTTTTCCTTTGGGTAAGGCACTTTAGGGGTTAAAAGGTTTTTGCTGCTACAAAGTGGACCACCTTCCCATTCTTAAGCTGTGGCCCAAAGCTGCATGGAGATGGAATTTGCACCACAATGTTCCTCAGTTTCCTGGTCCATAAAATGTAGATAATAAGAGGATTAATGAACTCATTGATGCTTACAGACCACTTTTCATTCTAGGATCTCAAGATATTGTAGATGTAAAGTGTTGTTGGTGTGACATGAGGATAGTTTTCTAACAGCATTTGTCTTTCACTATTAAAATTCCATTCACTCCAGTCTCTCCTTCCTGAGTATTTTTATTTTCTTTATTCCTTACCTTTTCTCATTTTGCCCCTCATTTTTTGCCTCCTTTCTATCTTTGTTTGCTTTCTCCTCTTGAGGTCATAGATCTGACACCTTAGTACTAGATATTCCTTATGTTAGCTGTGGGGTAGTTCTACGTAGATTTTTCTGTGTTTTGCTACTGACTTAATTAGGAATGTGATGTGGCATGCAATATGGTATTCTTTCATTTCTGATCCACTATGATGTCATAAATAATAATCAGTGTCACTATTCATATCACCTATGAATAGAACAGGTCCTTCATTTCTCTTCAGGGTGATTCTGCAATGGATGTCAGTTTAGGAGAATGACCCAGATAACATAAAGGAAACATTAATGGAATAACAGTCTCCAAAGCCTTTGTAGGTTTAACCAGGCTTACTGACTGTAATCGATGCGCATTAGCTACAGTTGTTACATATCTCAGTGGGTTTCTCTGAACTTGTGCAAAAATAGCTTTAACAAGCCCCATGTAATAAACCTTCACTGATTTCCATCAATAAAAATGACCAAGCCAGGAGTGGCCCTACAGTTAGTGTTCTACACTGCTGTGTGGGGAAACTTGAATTTTAGGGTCATATTCTCCATTGCTCTGCACCACCTGTAGTCATTTACACCCATGCAAAGTCAAAAGGTACAACCTTCTACCTACTTAGCACTGGTGTATTTGACCGCATTGGATGCAGGGCAATGGAGAGTCAGGCTCCCTGTCTCTCTTTCTCTGTGCCAGCAGGGCTTGAAAATTATTGCCAGGGACTGGCCTAACACCATTAGTGCTTTGGTACACTTTGTACTCCTGTGGGAATTCTGCACACAATAATTTTAAATTCTGCAAAATTCTGCATAGTTTATTTGTCAAAATAACACTATATAATCACACCCATTTCAATTATTTTGGTAATTAATTTCAAAATACCTATCCACAACTATGTGTGTAACAACAGACACAAAAGAAATTCCTCCACGAGTACATAGTTAACGAAACCCCTACAACAACCCAGTTCCTGTTTCCCTGCTCCCAGAGCCTAGTGGGGGCGGGGGGCATACACAGATCCCAGCTGCAGTACTCCCCAGCCCAGACAGTTGCACCCCACCCCCTCTAGAGCCCAGGGACCCAGAGGGAGAAACAGCCTGATGCTGGTCCCGGGGTTGTGTGGAGTTTCCTGTGTGACACCACCTTCCTTCAGGGTGTGCTGAGAACTGCAGCTGCCAGGAAGCCTCCGCTCCCTCCCCCTCCTCCCAGCAGTGTCTTCTACTTGTGAGCTGAGCTATGCTCTGCCAAGTCTAGCAGCCCCTAGTGGCAGCCAACAGCTCTGCAGCCCATTTCTGTGGAGGAAAAAGGAAATCCTGTGCAAAAAATATTAACTTTTGTGCAAAGTCTGCATGTGGAGAGGTGCAGAATTTCCCCAGGAATAACTTTGTAGGAGGCCTGGATTCAACTTTTTTCTTCTGGCCTTCTGCTGCTTAGAGCAGCAAAAGGAGAGACCAGTCTGGGCAGTAGGCTCAGCTTGTGGAAGTATAGCAATGGGGAATGCTCAACAGTGACACTGCTGGCTGATTCAGGAGTGGCCTTCCTGTGCTCTGAATGTGTCTCATTCATGTATAAATGCCACAAGGCATTGTTGCTCTTTAAACATGGCCTAAGATGTACTCACCTCCAGGTATACCACCCACGGCATCACCAGTGTGGCCACCAGCAAGTCTGCCACGGCCAGGCTCACCACCAGGTAATTCGTTGTGGTCTGCAAGGTGCGCTCTCTTAGCACCGCCAGGCAGACCAGCACATTCCCAAAGATGATGGCCAAAATCAGGGTGCAATAACAGAGGGCGTAGTAGGCATGGGAGTGTGGCAGGCCCGGCTCTGTTGAGTTCTCTTGCCCATGTGTGACTGAGGTAGTAGTGTTGACTCTAGTGAAGAGCGCCATTGGGAGGCAGGTGGAGAGCTGAAAAGAGACACAGAGCAACTCTAGTAAGCAATAGCTTCGGCTGTGACCTGCATCTTTCATCCAAATTATTTCACTGCTCTCTACAGGCTGTGAGCCAGATCCTGAAGCCTTTATTCAGGAGAGGCTCTTAAAGCCAGTGGGAGGTTTGCCTAAGTACAAACAGAGTAAAGGATTCAGGATTTTTAATCTATTTATGTATCTAATGCACATTTCCTCTGTCAATGAAATGCAGCCATGTGGAGTTGGGCAGCTGTTTAGCAATGTACAACAACGCTGCACAATTGTGTAAGAGAGTTAGTGGAAAACACCATCCAACTGAGAGAGCAGAGGAAGTCCAGAAGGGCAGAATTGTAGTTACCTGAACTAGAATTTGGGCAGAACCCTGAAGCTAGCCTCTCTTCTTTTGCAAAAACTGCTATGGACTTCTTAATAACTGCATGTGATCAAGATTTTGGTTGTATAGTTTGGCCGAACAATGACACCTCCAATATCAGGAGCACCCTACAGTCATATTTGGCCTTAGGTTCAGTACTAACTCAGAAGGCAAGCTGAGAAGTCAGCCCTCAACTCTGTTTCAGCTGTTGCAGGTCTCAGCCTCTGAGCACTGTGTTTTTCACTACAGCAGGCATGATCTGTATTCAACAGAACAAGAGAGAGTCACCATTATTGAATCACCATTACCATTTTCTGCAGTACTTCTCTGCTGAAGAAGGTATCCCATCCAATTACTGATCAGGTCCAATTGTGTTTTAGCTTGTAGGCTTATTACTTTTTATTGTGGCACTGATACTGTGCATTGCCCTTTCTAAACGCAGTAGAAGGAGCAATCCTTGCACTAGGAGCTCAGCTGATAGACTCACCACTCAAGGTAACTGGGCAGGAGCCAAATTCAAGGGGCTTCAAATTGTTCTCTTATGAGGCAGCTGCAATCATCCTCAACAAACATACTTTTCTCCATTTACAGTACTTAGATAGATGACTTATTTTAATATGTTCCAGATGTATTAAGCCTGCTGTCCCAGTGTCCCACTCTGTGACATTTAACTCATTTGCTTACTTTAATTATTTTGCTAATGCCCCCATCACTGAAGCATCTGGGCACATGTTTCTTAAAAGCACTGCACAGGACTGTCCTGGAGGCGCTGCAAATGTTAGCCCTGTTCCACCCAACCTGTCTAAATGAAACCTCCCCTGTAATAATTGAGACTTGTGCAAATGCTTGACCAGAAACTCTGTCATAAACAATAAGTGGACAGATGGCTAGATTGCCAGTGGACAGAAATCCACATAATTTAAACCAGCATTAACTGCTCCCCTCCTTGACAATCTCATCAGAGAGGCTAAAGGCTGGATGGGCCATGGAAACTGAAGTCCTCTCTCTTCCCTAAATGTGGGTCCCCCAGGCGGGGGATGAGACCTATTAGCTATGGGGTGTGAAGGAAGCTTAGCCTGCTTCTGTCTATGCCGCACCACCTGTGGAGATGCATAGAGGTGCTCAGATACTTCAGTGCTGGCCTTGGAATAAGAATCAGTATAGAATAGAATCCAGTCTCCAGTGCTGATGAGTCAGCACTTTCCACCAGCAAGAAATTGATATTTTTAAAAAAAACAAAGCAATCAAAGTTAATGGAGCTTTTCCACATCTTGCACAAGGTTGCATGTGAGTTTATGCTGGTCCTGATTTAAAGAAGACCAGCTAGAGCTATGCCCAGCCATGATCCATTCTGTGATATCTCTTATGGCAGAGCACTTCTGGTACTGTAAATGCTGTGCTGAACGCCTAGCAATCAATCAGCATTTATTCTCTTAAACTATGTAATACCAACTCTTTCACCTAAAGAAGAGGCTGTGCTAAGGATCTACACCTCTGATAAGCAAGCTCCATGTCTTAACTACGTGGTTGGTGAACAAGCCAAAGGACCAATACAATTTTAATGAAAAGCTAAACAAAACTGTATTGGAAACCTGTTTTTCTCCTAGAGCTAAATTGCTATTCTAGTCTTTCCCCTTCCAGCTTTGGATGACAATCCTGACTTGCTACCTCTGCCTGAGATTTCAGTCCCAGGCCCCAGACAGCTTTGCCAGTGACCCTCAATCCTGTCCTGGAACTCCCCCGCACTGCCCTTCTATTCCTGGACTCCCCACGCGCAGCTCTATGAATGCACCTCAGTCCTGACCTGTAACACCCATCTGCTATTCTAGTCCTTGGCTCCCCATACTGCTTTGATAGCATACCTCACTCCTGATCTGCAGCTTTCCCTGCTATTCCAGTCCTGTGCCCACCCTCCAGCTCTACTAAATGGAGTGATCAATGGCTCCATGTCTAGTTGGCAGCCGGTATCAAGTGGAGTGCCCCAAGGGTCGGTCCTGGGGCCATTTTGTTCAATATCTTCATAAATGATCTGGAGGATGGTGTGGATTGCACTCTCAGCAAATTTGCGGATGATACTAAACTAGGAGGAGTGGTAGATACGCTGGAAGGCAGGGATAGGATACAGAGGGACCTAGACAAATTGGAGGATTAGGCCAAAAGAAATCTGATGAGGTTCAACAAGGATAAGTGCAGGGCCCTGCACTTAGGACGGAAGAACCCAATGCACCGCTACAGACTAGGAACCGAATGGCTAGGCAGTAGTTCTGCGGAAAAGGACCTAAGGGTGACAGTGGACGAGAAGCTGGATATGAGTCAACAGTGTGCCCTTGTTGCCAAGAAGGCCAATGGCATTTTGGGCTGTATAAGTAGGGGCATGTCCAGCAGATCGAGGGATGTGATCGTTCCCCTCTATTTGACATTGGTGAGGCCTCATCTGGAGTACTGTGTCCAGTTTTGGGCCCCGTACTACAAGAAGGATGTGGATAAATTGGAGAGAGTCCAGCGAAGGGCAACACAAATGATTAGGGGTCTGGAACACATGACTTATGAGGAGAGGCTGAGGGAACTGGGATTGTTTAGTCTGTGGAAGAGAAGAATGAGGGGGGATTTCATAGCTGCTTTCAACTACCTGAGAGGTGGTTCCAAAGAGGATGGTTCTAGACTATTCTCAGTGGTAGAAGATGACAGGACAAGGAGTAATGGTCTCAAGTTGCAGTGGGGGAGGTTTAGGTTGGATATTAGGAAAAACTTTTTCACTAGGAGGGTGGTGAAACACTGGAATGCGTTACCTAGGGAGCTGGTAGAATCTCCTTCCTTAGAAGTTTTTAAGGTCAGGCTTGACAAAGCCCTGGTTGGGATGATTTAATTGGGGATTGATCCTGCTCTGAGCAGGGGGTTGGACTAGATGACCTCCTGAGGTCCCTTCCAACCCTGATATTCTATGATTCTATGAAATGTGTCTCCATCCTGACCTGCAGCACCTCTTACTATTCCATCCCAGAGTCCATCTTGAGTAGACTCCCTACTATAAATCATGCCAAATTATGCTATAGTTTGTAGTGCGTACAAATGGACAAATATCAACTAGGGACTCATTATATAGGATTAGTCATTTTCTCCATGCACATGCATACAACTGCTCTGTATGGTAAAGGAAGCTCCCACAGTGCGCAGGCAAAAAGGACAGCTGTGCTATCTCCTGTAGGGAGATAGCACAGCTGGAGAGTGGACAAACCTCACATGTCCAAGGTCCAAAGCTACAAGAATGTACAGAGAGTTACATCAAATCAAGAAAGCAGCAAACAGTCTTAAAGAAACAGAGCTCCGATGTACCCAGCAAAATAAGGGCAAGCTGAGAATTCAGCCCTCAACTCTATTTCAGCTGTTGCACATCTCAGCCTCTGAGCACTGTGTGTTTCTCTCATTCTGTTGAGTACAGATCATGCCTGCTGTAGTGAGTCTGGTTAAAGGGACAACTGATCAGAGGAGAGTTGATCCATTGCTAGTTTTGATCCTGTCCTATTCTGTTCCCCATTGCTATCTTTTGGGATACTTCAGTCTGGAGAAGCAGCAACAACTTTGTGAATCTCTTTCCCTATCAGCTCCCCCTTTCTCCCCATCTCTCTCCTTGCTCTCAGACCAGGTAGGCATTCACATTCAAGGACAAAAACACCAAGATGACCTGGAAGTGGCAGACCTTAGAAGCAGAGTTTTAAAAATCCATAGCCCATCAAGGCATTTGTACCTTAATATCAGACTCCATGTGCTGCAGGTGCTGCTGCTCTGTGTGTGTGTGTGTGTGTGTTTGTGTTTAAATCAAATGCACACAGTGGAAGTAAAGCCTAACTGCTGTGAAAACTAGGACACTAAATAAAGTCAATATCTCACCTCATGCATGTTTTTTTAAATGTCATCAATAAAGACAATGCATACAATTCCCATTTTGATTAGCATTTCTCTGTTGGAGAATAATCTTTCTTGTCTGGAAACCTGTCTCCTTTGAAATATATGGTGCTGTAAAAAGAAAAGTCTTTTTCTGTCAGAGATTTCTAAGTTAGCTCACTGCAGCATTAAAATGAAGGAATCTAAAGTAAAAGAGCCTCAAAATTACAGGAACCTAGGAGGGAAAAAATATCAACTTACTTCTGACTCCAAGCTTCCTTTTTTCCGGTCCCTTTTTAATGCCTTGTAAGTGTGAAAGAGGTGAGAGAACCTCAGAAAATCCAAATGAATTTATTTGGGAAAAGAAAAATAAGAAGAAAGAAAAGGTCGATGCCCCCCAAACACTCAGACACAAAGGAGAGGATTTTTTTCAGACCAGATTGTAGGTTGAGAGCAATGTTTTTGGTGCAATAATTCATTTTTCTTTTGGACTGAGTGTATTCTTAGAGCCTTGCAGAAACTGTAAGCCAGATCTTCACAGACACAATTAAGAAACAACAGAGAGAAATAATGACTTACCCTCAGTCTGATTGTGTTCCTGAAGAATGTTAAGCTGAATATCTAAGCCCCTGCAGCTGCTTGGAGCTGACAAGACATGCCTGAGGAAGGCAAACTTTGCCCTTCTCAGGGCACAGAAATGGAGCAAACGATGGGAGAAACAAATTGCCCGTGTTCGACTCCAAAGTGAAGTCTGTGCTATGAATGTTCCTCAGGCGCCCCATCACATCTTACTTTGTGCCTTGGAGCTGATTTTAGAACCGTATGTTCCCTTGATGATTTTGGGAGGGTCTCTGAGGGCTATTGTGGACCAGCTGCTCCAAGTCTTCATCCTTGATGCCAACAAGATAAAAGGTGGAAGGTTCCCTCTGTTCTTCTGTCCTCTTTTTTTTTTCCTTCTCTCTTCCCTCACTGTCTCTTCCCTTCAGTATAGACAGTTTCACAATTTTTCTGTGTCCCATACATCTAATTCTACATCATCTCATTGTCTTTCATTTGACATCACTTCTCTTTATCTCGCTCTTTCACTCACACCCTCCTCTCTCTCTCTCTCGTGCTCCGATATTGCTATAGCAGCTGGTCCATCTTTGTCGTCGTCCTCCCCTTTTGTTGGTATGAGTTTTTGCAGCACAAGTTGAGATGCAAGACAGGATTGGTGACTGCAAACCATAAATATACAATAAGGCTTTCTAGGGGGAAAAAAGCAGTTAAAAGGAGAAGGTTTTAATAGGTTAAGTCTCAGCTCAGACTGCTTGGAATCATAGGTTAAAATTCTGGGCTCAGGCTCAGATCCAGTCAGGCTTAAAAGTTGAGCAGGGCCATATCCGCTCTTCATCCTTCTGAGTGTCATTCAATTTACTTTGCTTGGGTTTTCCTGCTGAGAATTCAGACTGAGGCCCTCTGCAGAGACTTTAAGGCCAACACTTTCAAACCCCTTGGGGGCCTAAAACAAGTTCCTAAATCCCTGTTCAAACACCTACACAGAAGGTTTTCAGAGGTGCTGAGCAAGCCTGGCTTCTGCTAAAGTCAAGGGGAGCATCAGGATATCATCTAATGCAAATCAGGCCACTTCAATGTAGGTGCCTGAAACAGGGATTTAGGAGCTTAACTTTAGACTGCCACATTTGAACTAGGGTTGTCAGGAGTCTGGTTTTCGACCGGAACGCCCAGTTGAGAAGGGACCCTGGTGGCTCCGGTCAGTTAAAAGTCCAGTCAGCGGTGCAGAGGGGCTAAGGCAGGCTCTTTGCCGGCTGTGGCTCCGCATGGCTCCTGGAAGCAGTGGCGTATCCCTCTTCCGGCTCCTAGGCACAGGGGCAGCCAGGGGGCTCCGCACGCTGCCCCTGCCCCAAGCACCAGCTCCATGGCTCCCATTGGCTGGGAGAGCTGCAGGGCTGGCGCCTGCAGACTGAGCAGTGCACAGAGCCATCTGGTCATGCCTCCACTTAAGAGTTGGAGGGGGGATATACTGCGGCTTCTGGGAGCTCCCTGAGGTAAGCGCCGCACGGAGCCTGCACCCCTGACCCCCTCCTGTGCCCCAATCCCCTGCCCCAGCCCTGATCCCCCTCCAAACCCCTCGATCCCAGCCTGGAGCACCCTCCTGCACCAAACCCCACATCACCAGCCCTCGCACCCCGAGCCCGCACCCCCAGCTGGAGTCCTCACTCCCCGCACCCAATCCCCCTGCCCCAGCCCAGAGCCAACCCAAATCCCTCATTTCTGGCCCCACCATGGAACCTGCATCCCCAGCCCAGAGCCCATACCCCCTCCCACACCCCAACCAACTACCTCAGCTGGAGCCCCCTCTCATACTCCAAAGCCCTCTGCTCCAGTCCAGAGCCCCCTCCTGCACCCCAAACCCCTCATCCCCGGCCCCACCCTAGAGCCCACACCTCCAGCTGGAGTCCTCAACCTCTCCCACATCCCAACCCACTGTCTCAGCCCAGTGAAAATGAGCAAGATGAGTGAGGGTGGGGAAAGCAAGCGACAGAGGGAGGGGGGATGGAGTGAGCAGGGGTGTGGCCTCAGAGGAGGGGCAGGGCAGTGGGTAAGGCAAGGGTGTTCAGTTTTGTGTGAGTAGAAAGTTGGCACCCCTAACTTGAGCATTTTGGCCTAAAGAATTCACATCACTCCATGTGCGAGTAGGGTTTTTCTTTTGGCCACAATTTCTCTTCCCCAAGCAATTGTGTTGTGTGCTGGTTGACTGTTACCCTATATCCCCCAGACAGCTTCACTTCAGAGGTTTTATGTGTAATATAGCTCGAGTTTAAAGGTAAAAAGTAATTAATATTTGAAAGAAACCTATCAAGATCAAAGGAGAGAGAATCTAAGTTGAGACACAAAAGGAAAAGGGAGAACATTAAACATACCCATGAAAACTAAGGTGGAAAGCCAAAAAGTCCTGGTCACTAGAGTCTGTGAACAGCAGGAAAAATTTAATCACAGCAGTTCTGTTGCTGACAAGATTTAGCAGTGCATGCAGTTCAATTCAGTAATACTTCATTGGCTTGATAAGCTATACAAGCATGCCCAGCATGTGAAAGAATCATAGAAATGTAGGGCTGAAAGGGAACTTGAGAGATCATCAGGTCCTGCCCCCTGCTCTGAGGCCCCAGACGTCTGTACAAATCTGCCCATGACAGGGCTTCACGGTGCATTTGGGATATGATCCTCTTTACCCAGGTGCCATTACTGTCTATTCCTGATGCTGTGGTGGGGTGCTCTGTGCTGTGATGCTATCTTTGCCGGCTCTCCTATTTTTCGCAGGATTAGGCATATTTGCTTCTCCCATTTTCAGCTCCAGTGTCCCTAAGCGATGGCACATAACATGTTGCCACAATGAATAGAGTTTAAACCCATCCTTGATTTCTGCCTTACTCAAGATGCATTTATTGACATAAACTCATGGGAAACCCAAGCCCTTGACCGACCAAAATGGAAAAGTACCTTGTAGCAGGGATTCCAGTATTTTGAAATCCAACTGAGACAACAGGAAACAGAGAAACGGGAAAGGCAGAAAGAATGCGCTGCAGCCTGACTCAACAATCCAGATCCACCCCTTCCATTGGGAAAAGTCTGCCCCAATTGTGACAAGATCTATGGATCGCAGATTGGTCTCATCAGCCACCTTTGGATCCACCAGTGATACCTGGCTATCGTTTTATGGAAGACAACCATCCTCGAACTCTGAGGGATTGATGACGACTCAAGGTGGGAGTGCTGCAGCAGGTGCCTGGTGGAATCCACTCTCAGGAAGAAAGTGTTGTTCCCTTGACATACAAAAGTTAGTGACATTGGGCCAACTCATAGATAGAAGAGAAGGAGAGGAAATGTAACAGGTCATTTAGCTTACAAATGGCCTATCTTGGCCAGGATGCCTTGGGACTTTCACTGGCTGGGATATGAAGCCATGTTGGTAATGCCTAAGAGAACCTTGTCCTAGGAGAAAATGGGGCAGAGTTGCAGATATGAATCAAGTGTATGTGAGAAGTTGGCGAATGCTTACATTGGACTGCTTGGGAGGAAAAGAGGAGGGGGGAACAAAGCATAGCAAGTATGGAGGACTGGATGTCTGTGGGACAGAGCAATGAGTGCCACAGATTTTCATCTCTAAGTGAGGCATTCAAATTCAACCCAGCTTGGGAGTGACACTTGTTACTATCCGAAGGCTATTCAATGGCCTGTAATAGATGAACTTGGTGGGTCTCCGTCCAGTTCTTAATAGATAACTGTTCATATCCCATAAACTGATGCCCTAATTGGCCTCCTTGCTGGTAGACTCAACAGAGAGCCCGAAGTCTGGATGGTCCATGGAGACACAGCTAGCCTCTTGCCCCTAGCACTGCTCCTTCACTGTTGTGGTGCGTTGGTGGATTGAGACACAGAGTAACAGAAGTTTTATTGCCTATGCTGTAATTGTTCTGTTGATTAACAGAGAACCAGAGCTGTCAGTCCTGCGCCTCTCACCATCAGGGAATTCACTTTGAAACGATAGATGCAGTACTGGAAAAATATCTGAACAGAGGCACTTTAATGCCTAACAGCGAATATGCTGAGCTGGGAAACAGCCCAATACACCCACATCTTGGTGCCAAAATCAAGGGGAGAAATAATGATCATTTCCACATATTCCTTCTGGGAGCATATTCCAGGAGCACAGGGAAAACATTCCCAGTCACTACTCAGTGATGTTTACCAAGGAGACGCACCATGTCATGAGTAGTGGGAAGGAGAGAGCTGGAGTTTTCAGGCAGTCTGTTGTGGAGATGGATGTGAAATGCTGGAGGCCTTTCACTGGTTATTTGAAGAAAAGATGGCCCCTGCCATCAGCAAATTTTTACTTGACAGAACAAGTTCCTCTTTCTGTACCAGCGAGGTCAAGGCTAGAAAGTTAGGAAGGATAGCCCTATGGTTAAGGCAATGAACTGGAACTCAGGATACTGCCAGTCAGTTCACAGCTCTGGAACTGGATTTCTTTGGATAAGTCACTGGATCTCTCTACTCCTCAGTTCCCCTCTGTAAATCGAGGGAAATTTCATCTCCACCCTTCATCTGTTTTGCCTGTTACAAGTAGCGCTGCCTATAGTTAAGGTTGCCTAATCTTTTCCATTATAAGACCTTGGTTCCAATTGCTTATAACTTTGACAAACTTTAACCACTTAAGTAGAAATTTTCCATGCTGGGTGCCGGTTTAAGTTGATTTTTTTTTTTATTTCAGCAAAAATCGTTCAGCCATTTCCAAAAACAAGATAAGGGAAAATATTTTGTTTTTTCCCATGTTGAAAAATTCTTACAACTGTTTTGTGGAGAAGCTCTTGTGCCTCCAGACTTTGGAGCAGGGACATGAAATTTGGCGGGGGATCAGAGCAACTGGCCATCCTCCTGTTCCTCTCAGCTCCTTGTGCTGTGCTGACCAGACTGCCCATGCTCTGCCACTATCCTCACCCAGCAATTGAGCATGCTCCATTCAGCCCAGGGCTTCAGGAGCTGAGCAGGACTTTCCCTGCATTTACTCTTTCTATCTGCTGGGAGGATGCCAGATGCAGGAACTGAGAGTAGGGAGCCTCTCTCTCCTGTGCTCTCAATGCTACCCCTCCTGGCACCCAGGCAGCATAGAGGGGAAGGAGGAAGAAAATGACTGTAATGCAGAAGGGTGAGGAGCTGGGTCTGGGGGCAGGTGACCAGTGGGGAGACTGGGATAAGGAGCTCAGGATAAGGGACTGGGCTGTGGCTCTGAGGATGAGGGGGGAACTGATATGAAGAACCAAAGGATGGAGTTACTGGAAGGTGAAGTTGTGGGGAGTGGGACTGGGAAGAGGTACCAGGGAGGCAGAGGTGAGCAACTGAGATATAGAGTTGAGTAGGGGATCTGGGACTGGGATGTAGAGCTGAGAGGGAATGGGGCTGGGACAAAGGGCAGGGGGTCCAAGACAAAGGTGCAGAAGTGGAGGGACTGAGACAGGGAGTTGAGGGTATGT